CATCCCTGCTCCCCCCATTCCCGTGGCCATGCTAACAGCCCCCTCCCCAGCGCCGCTGCCTCCGCTGCTCCCCTTCGCCTCCCAGTCTGTGGAGACCAAGAGCGTGGAAAATCCCCAGACAGGGAGTGTAAATGCTTGTTCTTTGTAAATGAAGAACATAATTAACATTAAATTAAGGTAATACAAATGAAGACAACACAGAGCCTGACAGGATGAGTGTTTGGGGAGGCAGTAGAGAGAAGTGATTCATATTTTTAATTTACTGTACAAATAGACTAGCAGGGCTGGGGGGAAAAGGGCCATCCAAGTGGAGTGGGGATTTTTTTTTTTTTCCCACTGTTGTTTTGCTGTGCTTTAAGCACACAGTGACTATTAAAGTCAACTGCCCATATAATAGGACATCTCCTACATGACTGCTCTCCGAGAGGCAGCTTGCTGTAACAATAAATTCTGGGAGTGCCATCTGCTGGTGCACACCCTCCGCCGGGCACCCTTGCCTTGGCCACCCCGATGCCGGGCACCCACACCCCGACCAGCCCCGGCATCCCGCACCTGCTGCAGAGACCTGCTCCTGTAGAGCACTGGCCACAGACCTGCCAGCATTAACACAGAATTATTATTTTTCTATAGGTTAACAAACACCTTTCTTTTGTCCTAAATACACCCTTAATATTTTTATTTTTTTTTTAAGAGGATGTCGAGAAATATTTTCGGCTTTTAACAGAAACAAATCACTGTTCTGCACCCCTCCGAACTGCTGGGTTTCAGCTGAGTGCCCGTACAGAACACAGTAAAAAGTCACCCATTCTAGGTTTTTCCCTGCAAAAAGACTCTTGACCAGCATCCGTGTTAACCACAGGAGCTGGCTCTGCACTTTAAGGAGATGAGAGCGCTGGGCTCAGCCTGGGGACACCGCGCTGCAGGACGACTCAGCCAGGAGTGAGCCAGGTTTACCACAGCAGGAGGGTGTGCATGGGGCTGTGGCAATCTGGAAGGGGCACACAGCCACCACCACCACCATGTCCTTGTCCCCTTTCCTAAGGAAGTCCTGCCACCACTGTGCAAAGCAGAAAGCAAAGGCACCAAGAGAATCCATTCCTGGCTGAAATCACCCTTCCCACGCAGAAGATACCCTGGGACTGTGCCAAGAGACTCCCACTCTATGCCAAAACTGGAGAAGGTGTTTCACCATCTGGGGGGGTTTCTTAATTTTGGGGGTGCAATCTTTGCTCTCTGGGTCACTTATGTCCTGGCAATTATTACTGTGAGCAGTGCTTGTGGGTCTGGGGCTGGCTGGGATAGTGGTGGTAAGGAGCTGGTCCTGGTTCCTTGCTCCATCATTTGCTGTGTCTTACTCCTTTGCTGCCTTTTCCTCTCCCCTTCTATGGTCACCTGATGATCTGCCCCCAAGGTGCCTGGGACAGCACCAGCCCATTGCCTGAAGCTTTGCCAGCCCCAAAGTGCAGCCAGGGCCTCTTGAACATCTCCCCTGAGGCACTGGGAAGGGCAGAGGTGCTGGTGCAGGACAAGTCCTGTAACCAAAAGTAAGATGTTTCTCCTGCTTTTGCCTCCTCCACACTCTGAAGGCATGTTTGCACCCCTGGCTGACTAGGAGGATGTGGAGTGCTCCAGTGTGGGCACTGGGAGATGTGCGGAGGCCCATCCTGCAGTCTCAGACCCCCTCTGAGCACTGATGTCAAGTTTTGGCCAGGGCTTGGCTGTCCGTTAGCCTGGGCTGCTCCCCATGATGTACCTTGCCAGATGCACCACATCCTTGCTGCTGTGCAGCCCCGCAGCCAGGTCTCCTTGCTCCTGAGGAGAAACCAGAGAGGGCTGATGATGGAGCCCCATGCCACACTGGCTCCTCTGTCAGCTTTGAACAGCCTTGACCAGCTGGGGACTTCAGGGGTGTAAATCACCCCAAACAGCTCAAATGTGTCCTGGCCCCAGGCTGCAGCCACAGGGGCTGTTTGCATACTGACCTCCCCGCAGGGAATGCCCCCCGTGTCCTGCATCCTCCTCCTGTGGCTGCTGCACTGGAGGCACGGACGAGGAAAGCCTGCATGAAACCACCTGAGTTGAAGGGGACAATTGTGTCAGCCCAGGATGGGTTGTGCTGGGGGCTCAGCCCTCCACTGTGGCACGATGTTGCTTTGGGGTCCTCAGGGCTGGGGCACGATGCTGCGGCGCAGTTTCAGGTACCCTAGAGTGACAAGCCACCTTGTGGGACTGCTCAGCTCCAGGGCTTCTCCTCTGTTGGTAAGACAAGGGGCAAGGACCAATCCTGCACCCACCTCCCTGGGGCAGCGGGATGCTGCTCCAGCTTCTCTTTCTCCATACAGAAGGAGGCAGGAGCCTTGCTGAGGTGACAGGGACAGTTCACTGTTAGGACACCTGGTGAATCTAGTGAAAGAAGGTTTCAGCCTTATGGGCTCATTGGGTCCCCATCATCATCAGGATCCATCTCCCAGGAGCCCATCCCTGCTGGAGCCATAGGGACTGGGAGCACTACCAGGGTCTGAATGCTCCTTGGCTTGTCTGGCCACAGCCTGGCGACACTTGCTGCCTCACCAGCCACCAGTGCTGGTGCAGGGACACCAGGGTGTGTCCAACAAGACTTTGTCAACTTCCAGTCAGGATGTGACTATGCACCTTGAGCCAGGCACCCACTATGAGAGTTTCCCTGCAAGACCTGGAGATATCCAGTGGTGGACCATGAGTATTTCCCTGAGGAGCCCATTTCAAAGTATCTGGAGAGTTCAAACTGGGGCCTTCTTTCCCATTCCAGTTTGGCTGGAGTGAGCTCCAGCCCTCCATATATACGTCAATGCTTAAACTCACTCACCCTTTAACACTGGTGACACCATGAGAAGACAATTATGCATTTGGAGAAAGTCACCTTCATCTTCATTTCTGCAAACCTTAAGAGGATCAGAAGCATTTCCAAGCATGAGAGTAATTTCTCGGACTCTTCTTTGCACCTTCTCCAATCTTTGAAGGTCTGTTTGGACACTGCTAGAGCTTAGAACCTTACCCTCCCCAAGCAGAACCAGTCCTTTTGGAGGCCTGAATCCAGAATACTGATTTGGACATGGTGAAGCAGCTCAGGGCTCACCCAGCCATATTCTTCACAAGAAGCCTGCCGTGGAGTGGCTGGGAATGTCTCCCTGAACAGGGCAAGCAGAGGGGAAGCCCAAATCCTGCTTTTACAAGAGTAACTTGCAGCTTGGACTGACAGCCCTTAAACAGAGATCTTGTCCCAATATCCTAAAAAAAAGCTGATGAGAAGCTAGTGCCCCATGAGCATGGGGTTTTCTCATTCCCACCCTTTCAGGTCCTGACGGAAGGAGGATTGACCTGTCCCTTGATGTGGGACCCTCAAAAGGGTCCCCAGGAGAAAATGCACCTGAAAGGCATGATAGGATTTTGCCAGGGACCTCCAGTCCTTGGAAAGAGGGGACTTCTGGCTCTGGTGGTGTCTGAATCCCTGCCAGAAATGGGTCCTGACCCATGTTTCCCAGGTCTGCCCCATCTCACCAGCCAGCACAGAGCAGTCCTTGGCCATAAGGCAACACCCTGGCTCCTTAGCTGTGCCAGGACCCCAAAATGGGGGGCTGCTCCCAGGGGGGGCCATTGCCTCCCACATGGAGGGCAGGAGGCATCTTCCAAGCCACCCCACATGCTGGGTGGGAGAGATAAATAAATACCAGAATAAATAAATACAAGTGGCAAAGAGGCCTGAAATGATGCTGTCGTTTGCTGGGAATGAGAGACACAAGTGTAATTTAGGTTTTGATATTATGAAAGTCTCGCTGCTCTAAAACAGCAGGGCACTCAGTGCCTCATTAATAAAGGATAAACTTGGAGTCTATTTACAATGCACTTTTTGGGGTTATTTACACTCCATTATACATATGTAATGCTGCACATATTTACCGCTCTGTTCTGCTGCCGAGAGCAGCCAAGGCAGGAGGGAGACGGAGTGGGAAGTGGCTGATGCTGTGGAGCCGTGACCCCTGCTTTGACTGATGGCCTTTAAATGGCTTGAGATGCAGGGTTGCCCCAAGCCAGCTGCTGAGCATGGTGGGGCTAGGACCAAGTACTGGGGTCCCAGTATGGCCCAGTCCCTGTCCTCACAGGATCAGTGCCCACCCATCCCAGAGGCATCCCAAGATTTTGCCAAGTGATTCAGAAAGGGTGAGCTCCTCACCAAGTGACCACAAGCACCAAACACACAAGCTGTGGGCCCATCACAGAGTTAGCAACTAGAAAAAAGAAGGCTAAATTATCTACAACAAATAAATCATGCTTGAATTGACACTAGAGGGTTTTGGCCATACAGCCCTCCCCACCGCCCGGGTTTTACCTCTTAGCAGAGCAAAATACTATTGTTTCCCTGTAAACCATAGCTCCCCAGGGGTCTGCCAGCCTGGGAGCCCGCAGCCCCATGGTGTTTGTAAGAGCTGCTGTGAGGGTCCTGGGTGATGCAACTGCCATGCCCACAGCAGTCCCAGGAAACAGGGCAGCCCCTGACACAGCCCCCAGGATTCAGGGAAAGGATGTGAGAGAGGTTGTGTTTAGAGAGCACCTCAGGGTGCATCAAAGGGATGTGGGTGCACCCAGGACCCCTTTGCCCTCAGCAGAGTTTGGAAGGGTGCAGAGGTCCCATGGGAGCACTCTCTGCAGGGCCAGCACATGAGATCAGGCAGTGAGGGGCTTTCAGCAGGCTGTGGAGGGGCCTGGTGGCTGGGTATTCACTCCAGCTCTGAGCTGCTCAATATCTCTTCTGTGACAGCCTCTGGGTTTGCATGATCAACATGCGTTAGACACAAGAGGCTGGGAGCCACGCTGACCTAGGAAGGGTGACTTTGACCTTTCCAGCCAGGCACAGTGTGGGAAAGGACAAGCCCCCTGTCCCATCCTGCTCCTCCCCAGCACTGGAGGAGCACCCACCTGTGCCAGCACACTTTCAGCTTGCTGCTGTCGCCAAATGATGGCTCTGAAGGCAATGCTCTTTATTAAACACCTCGTGCAGGGCAGCTCTTGGCAAGTCCACATACCCAGGAGTGATGTGAGCCCCCTGCCCCCAGGAGGTCCCCTCATCTCTGGGAGGGCATCTCTTCCAGCATGGGGTGATGCTGTCAGTGCAAGCCTGGTGCATCACTGGGGCTCATCCTGGCTGCAGGCTGCAGCCTGGTGAGATGTCTTGGGAGGTCCAGAGCTGATTGAGTCTGATAAAATTGAGCCTTGCTTGCCTCCCCAGCCCCCCACCAACCCCCCATCCCACCCAGATCAGGGTAGGGTGGAGACTGAGCCCTCCAGGGCCCTGCTCTCCAAGGCCCCATAGCCATCAAGCTTCACCATCCCAGTGAGGTGGGCTGGGATGGAGAGGAAAGAGCGGCGAGTGGCAAAGCTATGGCTGATCTCCATGAAGGTTTTGTTCTTGGTCTCAGGGATGATGAGGTAGATGTACAGGGCCACCAGCAGGCAGATGCTGCAGAAAACCAAGTAGCAAAAGGCACCAGCTGACATCTGGGGACAACAAGAGAGCAGAGATGGGGCAGAGAACCAGACACCCTCAAGCTGAGCATGGCATGAGGCAGTGTCCCCTCTCATCACCACTCCCTAGGCTGGCTTTGGCCAGCACTGAGCTGAGCCAGGAGCATGGGCATCCCTTGTGTTAAGTCTGGCTTGGCACCCCATCCTGGGGGAGCAACAGGGTCATGTCCAATCCCTTCTCTTCCCACAGCCCCTATGGACCAGTACCTGCAAGAAGGGGAAGATGAAGCCAATGGTGAAGTTGCAGATCCAGTTGAGGGACCCCCCCATGATGTAGGCAGCTGGGCGGTGTGACTGCGTGAAGAGCTCGGCTGTCATCAGGAAGGGGATGCCAGCTGTGGAAGGAGGGGACAGATCTAGGGTACAGGGGACAGGCTGCCTCAGGCACCCCTGGGGTTGACAGGTCCTGCCCATCTCAGTCCTGTGGACAAAGGGCTGGAGCCCAGCAAGACCCACTGGTCAAAGGGGTGGTGCTGGGAGGGCTGGAGGAGATGAGGAGCATGGGGACAGTGTCCTGCCCTTGGTCTCCATCTCAGTGGGGGGTGATCTTCCCCTGACATACCACAGCTGAACCTTGCAGGGTGCTGAGGCTGATTTCACAAGTTACTTGACTGGAAAGTTTCAGACCAAGTCAAAATCAAGGTGGAACATTCAATCTGGATCCTCAAATGCTGATATATTAAATCTCATAGATCACAGACATAGAGAAATGTGTTCTTGGTGCCCTCCGTAACACCCTTTCCAGCCTCCTCCCTTAATGAAAACATTTTAGAAAATTTCCTTCTATCGCCTAGCTTCTACCAACATAGTGGCTGATTTAGGCAGGAAAGAAGCAATCACATTTCCAAGCATCAGAGCTTCCTGCAGGACCCAGAAATGCCATTTTTCAACCAGCTTTTCTCATGTACGGTTTAAAAAAAACAGAATGACTGGAAATGATTGCCCAAGCCAATTTGGCCACTAAAAACTGAACACAGGTTGTGGATACTTCTGCTAGAAGGACTCAGCCCCTCTTGTCACATGTCACTGAGCCAGCAGCCCTGGGTCCCAGGACCATCCCTTTGCTGGAGGGCAGGATCCAAGGTCCAGCGCACATCCCAGGTCACACGGGGATCTGGCAGGGGACTGTATCTGACATGGTGACATGCCCAGGGTCCCACTGCCTGGGACAGGGCTGACCAGGACTTCATTATAAAAGACGCTCCAAGTGAAACTATAAACAAAAAAAAAGTGCTGAGACATGAGGGAGGAGCGGAGTCCCTGATGGACTCTTACTCACAGCTCGCCCAGAATAGATATATATTTTTTTGTTTTAAAACTCCTATTCATCATTGTTTGTGAACAATGAGCCATTAAAATCCTAATTAAAGATGTAATTACAGTGAATAAAGTCTGGGATAAGGATGAATTATAGATCTGTTAACAGTTCTGCTAATACATCAACTGGGTAAACCAGTCCAGGTTTCACTCCTCGCTGTTTGAGCCCTCTCGTGCCCGCGCTTGGTTAGGGGCAGGATAATGCTCACCAGCTGTACTGTGATGGGAGTGGGTGATACCTCCAGAGATGTCTGGAGAAAGCTGTGAGGGCTTTCTTCCTGCTTGGCCTGGGAGCAAGGATGAGGAGGAAGTGGAGCATGCCCGAGGTGATGTATGGGGCTGGGGGGGCTTGGGGCTGGGTCTTGCTTGTGGGTTCCATCATGATAAACCAGGACCTGGCCACGGGGAAGGGGCCAAGGCACCAGTCCTGCCACCTGCTTGCAGATCCCACTGCTCCCTGCTCCCCCAGAGCCCCCATTCCCACCCACACACACACACTGCTTCCAGCCCCAGACCCACCTGGTCCCATGCAGAAGCCGGCGATGATGCCAATCATGCAGACGACGCTGACGTAGCGCATCCAGGGCAGGGCGGTCTGCGAGGGGACACGGGGCTGGGGGATGCTGCTGGGGTGGTGGCCCTGAGCTTTGCGCCCAGCATCCCCGGGATGTGGCTTCACACCTGCTCAGCGGTGGAAGGTGGCCATGCAGGACACATGGAGAGATGCAGACAAGCAATGGGTGGTTTGGGGCAAAGTTGGTGAGGATCAGCCTAGCAAAGCTCAGCAACTTGTGATGCTGAGACGTCCCCAGAGCTGCAGGCAGCAGAAGGAGGACACTGCAGACCTCTCCACCTCCCCTGGCATTTCACAGCCCCCTCCATGGGGACAACTATTTCTGCAGAAAAGCTCCCAGAAGCAGCAGGACTTTTCTCATGTGGATTTGGGTTTTCTCTTCTGTTGTTCTTTTCTCTGAATTTTCCTTCCCTTTAACTTTGAAGGGAAAACCTTCCTTGGAAGAGCCAACTCAACTCTCATTTCAATGTACCCCTGGGGTGATACCAATCTTTTCATCACTCAGCCCTCATTAAGGCGCCCAGGGCTCCAGCCCCGGCTGTGTCAGTGGCCCAGGGAGGTCGCTGGGGTGACCCTACCTGCAGCAGCAAAGAGACGGTGATGCCAGCCAAGCAGATGCCCATGGTGCAGAAGCCAGTGATGATAAGGGGCCGCCGGCCCAGCTTCTCAATGGTGAAGCACTGCCAAGGGAGAACAGACACTGGTGGGTAGCTCCCCACCAGGACAGGGACAGCCCCTGAAACCCAGACCCAGCTGAAGGTGGAAGGATGCTCCTTGTGGCATCTGGGGGTTGAGGCCAGCCCCAGCTCATAGCTCCAGGGTTGAAGCCAGGGCATGGAAAGACCCAGGACTCTGTGGTCTCAGGGGTGAGCATGCACCAGGCAACAGTGGGGTCCTGAAGAGCCCCATTAGGGTGCAGGGTTGGGTCTGGCTGGGGTGGCCCCATGGCCACATTCCCACTGACACCGACCAAAGGTGTTGGGCTGGGCACAGGGTGTTTGCAGAGCAGCGGGCAGAGGAGGCAGACTGCGGGCAGGCGGCACGGCAGTGGCTGGAGAAGGCAGGGTATTGACAGCAGAACAAATGCCTGTAATTTTATAACCAATCTCGGCATGTCCATCGGGGGCCATTTGCGGGGCTGCTCCTGAGCAGTGCAGCTGCATGCTGGGTGGCTGCTGGGGGGCTGGGGCAGCCCCACAACCAGGGCAGGGGCAAAGGGAGCACCCTTCAGAGGGACAGGGGTCTGATCAGGGAGCTCCACTCTGCCATGGGTTGAGCTATGGGGAGAGGGGAGCATCTCCCCACTCAGCCCCAGTTTTCTGGGAGCAGCCACCTCCATTCATCTCTCTAATTGTCAGGGAGTGGATTTAGTGCCGGGTGGCTTGGGCTGGCCCCGGGTGACACTCACAGATGGGACGAGGGCCATAAATCTGCCTGGCCCAGTGCTAACTCTCCAGCTAAATGAGGCCTGGCTGGGGGGGCCAGGGCTGCTAGCCCCAGGCCAGGCCAGTGCTTGGCTGGGAGGGGCAGATGGGGACATGTGGCTCTGCTAACAGAGTGACAATGAAATCAGGAGCCAGAAGGAACCACATAGCCCCTGCCATCACCTCTAACCTGCTCCTTATCTGGCATCTCCCCCAAACCTCCCTGCCAGTCACTTACCCTAAAATTCTCCCACTCCTCCTAGATGTGACCCCACAAATTGAGCCCCTCTTATCTCCTCACTCCATTTCCCTGTCAAATGCTCTGCCCCCCAGCAATGGGCTGTGCTGTGGCATGGATGACATTTGGGGTCCATTCAGCCCCCCCTGTTTGACAGTGCTGGGAGGTGGCAACAAGGCTCTGGCACTGAGGGGCAGTGTCCATCTGTCTGTCCATCACTCACCCCGATCAGACCAGCAACAACTTCAATGGCGCCAGTGCCCACGGTGGTGTAGGGGATCTGGGATACAGGGATTCCGGCGTTTTGGAAGATGGTGTTGGTGTAAAACCAGATCTGCCGAGGAGGGGACTTAGCATGAGCTGGGGGGACGAAGTCACAGGGCACTTGATGAAATGAGTTGCCAGGTCTCAGCTCAGCCTCTGCAGAGCCAGGTCCCGGGATGAGGACCCTGCAGGGCTTACGGCATCGATCCCCGAGAGCTGCATGCCAGCATTCACCACCACCACTGAGAGGGTTTGCCAGCGGATGGAGCGGTCCCGCAGCAGCTGCCAGACAGAGATCATCTCCACAGAGGAGAGAAACCGTTGCTCCTCCTTCATCTCCTCAATCACATCCTGCACATCTGGTGTCCCCAGGAACCGGCACAGAGCTGTGGGGACAGCAGAGTCACAGGCAAGTATCTCCCCATCACAGAGTGGATGCTCATAGGTACAGCACAGAGCAGGGGCATGGGCTTGGCTCTGCCCTGCCTCAGCCTCCCCAGGGGACCTCCCTGACCCATGGGGCTGAGCATCCGTAGGAAATGAGGAGATGCCTCAAACCATGGTGATGGGCACTGTAGAAATGTTATGGTGCAACTGAGTGGGACAGAAGGGCTGAACCATAAGGTGTCAGGTCTGGTTGTAGAAGGATGTTATGAGGATGCACCTTGGACCAACACCCAGCACCTCCTGAAGCCATCTCCAACAGGATACCCCCTCACCCTTGGTGGCCCCGCAGACATCGTTCCTCTCTATCAACAGGTACCGTGGACTCTCGGGGAAGCAGCGCAGCAGCAGGAGCTGGAGGGAGGCAGGAACGGCCACCACCGACAGGAAAAGGGGCCAGAACCTGTCCTAAGAGGAGTCAAAAATGGGATGTGTCACAGGGAGGGCAAAGCAAGGTCCACCGTGTGTGGTCTGGGGTACTGTGCTCACCTCACCCAGCAGCTCTGGGAGACCCAGGACCTGCGCGAAGAAAACCCCCAGACAGATGAAGATGCTGGGCATGAGGCCCAGGAAACCCCGCAGGTTCTTGGGGGCAATTTCTCCCAGGTAGAGAGGCACCACGCTAAGACAGATGCCTGAGGGGACAAGAGGGACTGGGATATGAGAGGCAGTGAGGAGAAGGGTGCCCAGCCAGATCCTCAGCACATCTTCTCCCATACCCAGCACCACTGACAGTGGGGACCCTGTGGCCACGGAGGTGGCCCTGTCTGCCATGGGGAATATAAAGTCTTCTCCAGCCCCCTGACAATGGGCTGTAGGGTACAGAGCCATGAGGAAGGGGCCATGCACAGCCCCGCAGTCCAGGCAGCACCTACCTGAGTGTAGCCCTGTGATGGAGCGGCCAATGATCACCATCTCAGGGGACCTCAACTCCCGGCTGAAGCCCATGAAACCGCCGGCCAGGAGGACGAGGAGAGCACTGCGGCTCAGCGCACCATTCCTAGCAGGGTACAAGCAGCAGGATGGGCCCTCCAGACCTATCCTATCCCATGACCACCCTATCCCATGCCACCCCCTTACCTGCCATACCGCTCCACCAGCATCCCCACCAGCAAGGAGCCCACCAGCCCACCCAGGGCAAAGATGGAGACAGTCAGGGAGTAGAGGAGGGTCAGAGGGCCAGGGTCCAGCCCATGCCCATACCGCTGGGACCACGTGGTGTTGTAGAAAGCCTTTATGTGCTGTGGGGCAGAGAGACTCACATGGGCACCAAATGTGTTGGGAGAAAAGGGAAGACGAGGGAAGACAGGCCCCGTAGGTAAAATATCATGGGTTTAACAGAGTTGCAGGAGATGCAGGGCAGGAGGTGACTGGGGATGACTGGAATGTGCTGGTCTGGTTAATCAGCCAGCCTCATCACCAGAAGGGTTTAAGGAAAACATAGAGATGCCACAGGCAGAGCCAGAGCAAGGAGGTTGGTTGTGGACAGCTTTCCCCAGCCCCTGCCTTCCAGGGGGGACCAGTCTGGGGTGAGTACATGAACAGAGGCTCCCAAGTCTATCCTATTCTGTACCTCTCCCCTAACTGCTCTCCATGGGTGACTGCCCAAGGAAAATGCCATTATTTTGATGTGGGGCCGCTGGGTAGCGGTACCTCCACCCTCCCAGGGAGGGATGCAGAGCCCTTCTCCTGCTCCCAGAAAGGCTGCCTGTCCCTTACTTACCACAGCCGGCGAGTTCACCACGGCCAGGTTGTAGCCATAGAGCATGGAGGAGCCAAAGGACACCAGGAGGGTGACCGACAGCAGGGGGAAGGTGAGGTGCTGGGAGAGAGGACGAGAGAGCAGTCCAGCCCCAGCCAAGCCAGGAGCCAAGGTCACATGTAACATGAGTTGCGTTCGGTCACTGCCCCTTTTCTGGTAGGGATGTCCCTGGTCCAGAGCAAAGCCCAGAGCAAAGCCCCCAGCATGATGGAGCCATGTGCTGAGCTCTGCTCCATGTCACCACCCAGCACGCAGACCAGCTGATCCAGCTTCCCCGTGGCTTGTCTCGTGGCTGTGGCATGAGGCTTTAGCCTGGCAGTGCCCCAGCTCAGGCTGCTTGTCCCGGCTGCCTGTCCCAGGCACCCCTGCCCCAGGGCTGGGAGAGAGCAGCAGGCAGAAAGGGGCAGGGGAAGGAGAGAGACACCCATCTTCTCCCGTAAATGGGGGCACCTGGATGGCACTTCTGTGAGCTGCCCTGCGCATACCTCCCTGTCTGGGGGGGCCGGGACCACTGAAAGGTGCGGTTCCCTGCAGCAGGTCTCAGGCCCCCCTAAATGCCACATGCACACACCTCTTAAATCCCCTCCAGCACCTCTGTCACCTGCTCCGGCTGCGTGGGGGCCTTGCTGCGGGGAGCTGGTGGCTGCAGAGGGACACCCTGCCCCGACCCACCCAGGGAGGGGGTTGAGACCAGCCCACCCCGGGACTGGAGTGCCCAGCAGAACCCAAGAGGCATTCAGGGCACCCCCTGCCGCGGGGGCACCCCGGGGTGCTGCACCCGGCTGTCTCCCCTGGAGCAAGAAGCATCCCACGGCCCCACAGCGGCAAGGCTGTGGCGGGGTGCGGAGCGAGCCTGTGTGCCCCCGGAGCAGCCCCGGGTCCCAGCACCCGGAGCCCGGCCCTCCTCGCAGCCCCCCCAGCACGGTAGCCGGATCCGTGACTCCCAGCAGCTCCCGGCTCACGCACAGCAAATCCCACTAATCTCATCAGGAATCCCGACCGGGAAAAGGGGGAGTGTGTGTGTGGGGGGGGCTGATGTCAGGCCAGGGGCTGGGGGACACACTCGACACCGTGGGGCAGACCTGTCTCTTATACAC